GAAATGACAAAAAGGACAAAGTTTCTGGAAGGTACTGCTTTGAGGATGTAGTATTTTCATCTCTTGAAAAAGTGGCACATTTCCTTGTAATGGTTTTACTAGGTGGTCATGTTTTCAACCTTTGAATAAAAGTGACAAAAAGACGAAGTTTCTGGGAAGTACTGCTTTGAGGATGTTGTATTTTCATCTCTTGAAAAAGTGGCACATTTCCTTGTAATGGTTTTACTAGATCATGTTTTCAACCTTTGAAAAAAATGACAAAAAAAGACAAAGTTTCTGGAAAGTACTTTTTATTCCTTGCACCGGTGTTTGATTTTTATTTGATTAGAAAGAGTGGAAATTTATTTTACTACTTTTATGAGTTTAACTACTTCAATGAGAAAAGAAAACACAAGAGAAATGAAAAGAAAAAAATAAGAGAAAAAGAAGTTCTCTCCAAATATTTGTCTGTGTGTGTATTTCTATGTGTACTTTATTTTATTGTCACGGTTAAAAATAGCACCCGGCAGCAAGTGGTTAATCCGTGACGACAAGATGATAGAAACTGTTGGAGACATGTACATGTAAATTACACATGTGAAGAAACATATTCGTGTACACTTTTTAACTGTGAATAGTTTTTTTTGTCATTTCTTTTCAGTTCCATCCATTATACACCTGAACATCCTTCCATTTTGCAGTCTTGATTGCCACTGAGTCTTGGATATCCCTCAGTGTTAGTACATGTGACAACACAACATGTACATATAATAATTTAAAACAATTTAAAATCAAGACGTGAGCTTGGAGTCAAGCAAAACTTTGATATTACAAGCTCGCTATAACAGTGTTCCATTATATTTTTTGATAAAGATATTGAAAACACATGCTGGGGCTGAGAAAGTAGCCTTTATAATTACAGTAGCCTGTAATTTTGGTTGGTCACTGGTCTTCCTTCTCTCTGGCGCTGTTTCCTAACTTAAATATCTTCATCTAATGACACTTGGTTGAACATGCTGTTTACTTTCTCAAGGAGACATTTCAGGGGACACTGCATATAACTGACACATAATGAACTTTTCTGAACTTGGCAATAAGATGTTTCGGAGCAGCTTGTCTTTGGTGACATTTTCTAGTATGTCAGTTGTGGTAATTCTACTTATTGACTGATGAAGGTGGCTTTGTCAACTGTCGTAAAAAGATAAGTGATGGATAAACAATATTCATTTGGGGGACATCTTTCAAATCAAACCCACTAGTACATGTACAGGCCAGGTAGTGAGCAAAGCTTTCCTCTTTATGAATATGTGAAAAGCTCAAGGCATTTGTATACTGTCAGAATCAACTTGGGTGGTGTAATTAGTAAGCGCATACACAGTACAGTGTGAATCTCTATGTGCGCCTTGATTCTACTGTTAGTCCATTTGTGAGAAGGGCCTGAATGCTGCTCTACATCAGACTATAAGGCCCATGGCATGCATGGCATCAAACAGCCAGGCTTAGGCCAGCGCACTTAAAATTGCACACTGGAATTATATTTTGAGTATGACTTGGCAATGGCGACATTCTTAAACAATTAGTGACATGTTTAATTTTGGGGCTGTGAGGGAATCATTTCTTCAAAATAATGTTTTCATGAAAATAGTTTTCTCTCTGAATGTTTCCATTGTGTTTTAACATGGACGCTTTTAAAAATGCAGTGCACATATATGGGAGATTTTCAAGATTTTCAGTTTTCAAATTCTTAAAAAATTCATTATTTCATTTAATGGACGCTTACACCCACATGAATGATTGTTTGGTGGCTACTCTAAGCTGACAGGCAACCTTCATTCACTCCAGAGTATTTCAGCCAGGCCTGCCGCCCTGTAAAGAGAGCCTAGAATTGTGAGGTGTTGCGTAACTTCCTTGGTCTCCAGTGAATGCCAGTGGCATCTTTTAAAATGCAGTTGGATTAGCATGCACCAGTGCTGTGTCGCTCATCAATGGGGCCCTGGAGCACTTTTGTGTTTTTGTTGCTGAAAAATGATGGCAATTCCTAGCAGCAGGTCTTTTGTTCCAAGTACGGTCTTTTGTTATAGGGACCAGCTCTTTGGCCCCATTTTGGGCACCCCAGCTCTGCGTATAAACCTGTGGTGCTCGAAACGGGGTTCCCCAGCAGCAAGTGGTTAAGTAATTTTCCATTTCCAGGGCTGATTCAACAAATTCCATGTGTTTCTGTATGGGGAAACCAAAAATCTGTGGATCTACTTTGTGACTTTCGAATGTTAAAAAAAGGAGTCAAGCCCAACATTAGAGAAATAAACAATTGTTATAATATAACAGCTATCATGGAGCATGCGCTCAATTTAATATTGATTGGCCTACCTCAGTTCTATCAGCGGCATACCAAGCCACTTCCTTAATAACCTGCTACCAAATCTTGTCTGGGTGTGATCCAGAGCAGAGAAGAGGCTTCCTTTCCCTGATCCATCCGTCTGAAACAAACAAACAAACACACACACATATGAATTGCACAGAATTACTTTTTACAGGATTTATTATCTAAATACAACATTTGATTTGGGAAATGTAATGTAATGAGAGGTATAACTATACACTGGTTAACTTCTGGGAGTGTTTATCTATTAATAAAAAAAATAAAAATGAACCACACTAAGACTGAGGTGCTGCACTGTGAATATAATAATTTTATATGACAGGAAAATTTGCAACTTAGCACCTTACAGCTCTTTCAGGCAGAGGGCTATCTCATAGAAACTCTAGTTTTTTGGCTTTTTCCAAGTTGTGAAAAAGGCATTCTTTTTGTTCTTTTTTGGGGGGCTTTTTCACGAGTTGCAAAAAGGCCTCCTCCTCCTCCTTCTTCTTCTGATAACCCGAATCCCCTTTGTTTTGTACAAGTTTCTTCCACCACCGACTTAAGTCCCTAAGAAACTTTGGGTCTTCATCAAACCATGATCAAACTTACATCAATGAAAGACCCTTGTCTAAAGATGTGCATAGAACTATGACATCGTGATGATGTAATCCAGGGTCATGTGACATGAAGTTAGATCTGCAGTTTTTCTCCATACGTTTCATATTTACAAACATTTACCGATTTTGATGAGTGAGTAGTCATTAACTTCAGCTGAAGATTACTATGAGAAGGAAAGATAAATCCTTTTTTGGGGTCTTCTTTTGATTTGAAGTATACCCAAGAGTCAGAATATCAAGTAATAATTCATAAAAATGTTTCAGTTTAAACACAAAACAAGTGACCTGAATTTAAAGGTGCCGTTTTTCTGCAATGGGATTTTAGGCCCATTGACATATATATGTTTTCAAGCCACCGTTTTTGTAACTTAGCGATCTTCAATAGTCATCAAAATTACAGCAAACAAGACCGTTATACTATAACGATGCCAAGATTATGAATTCATGGTGATGTCATCACCTATTGTTTTATTGATTTTTGACTTTGGCTTTGTGCACGTCTTCTTCCACCTGTTGACTTCAATAGTTTTATACATCTGATCAACTTCAGACTTGGCAGACCTTTAGACAATCATGCAAGGATGGTCCTAAAAGAATTTGTCATGATGACCTCATCACATGATTTATTATTGAATTTTTAATATTCATTTTTTCCCCACAGGTTTTGTACACATTTTTCCCACAGCCAGACTTCCACACTGTTCTCGACCTTTCTCGATGGGTGTTAGGTGAAGATTCTTAGCCCAACAATTAGAGAGGGCTTGGGAAAAAATTGTCATGATGACATTATCACGATATTTATTATTGAATTTGAATACTTGATTTTTCTCTATAGGTTTTCTACACGTTTTTCTAAGTCAAAGACCAGTGCACTCATACATCTGAGTCCATCAACCCATGGGGCTGACGTCATCAGGGCATCACGTGACACAAGATTGAAGTTGCAATCTTCTGCATAGGCAATATTATCGATCTTAATGAGACGGGCCCTCAACTTCAGCCATGAATTACTATGAGAATGAAAGAGAAATCATATTTTTTTTCGTCTCCGTTCGATTACAAATATACCCAAAAGAGTCAAAATAGCCAATAACATTTCACAAATTTTTCTTTAATGTAAAGGTGCAATTTTTCTCCATAAGTTTTGTGCATGTTTTTCAAGTCAAAGACTGGTGCACTCATACATCTGAGTGACTCTGTACTGGGAGCATACATTGTCACAGTTGCATCATCAGGGGTGACATGACATGAAATTAAAGTTGCAGTCTTTTCCATGGTTTTTCTACAACGCAATATTACCAATCTTAATGAGAGTAGTCCTGGACTTCGGCTGAGGATTACTATGAGAATGAAAGAGATATCGTTTGTTTTTTTTTCCGACTACATATATATATCAGAATCCAGATATCAAATAATATTTGGTAAATTTTTTTCAATGTAAACGCAAATCACATAATATGACTTTATAGGTGCAATTTTCCTCCACAGGTTTTGTGCACATTTTTCTTGAGTAAATCATGTGTTACTTAATTGACTTAAGTACTTTTTCAAACAATCTGATTGACTTCATATGGAACAAACCTTCAGACAATCATTAAGGGATGGTCCTACAATAAAATCAACATGATGAGTTCATCACTTGATTAATTTTTGAATTTTGTATATTTTATTTTTCCCTCTCTTATTAGGTTTTGTACACGTTTTTCAAAAGGAAGAGTTTGACAGTCTTTATCGATCGAGTTTATGTTAGGGCCACACACTAAGGACAAGCTAGAAAAGGTTCCTGTACAAGTTCTCATAATGATGTCATCAGCTGGCAAGTCACGTGTGACATTAAAGGGGAACTTTTCAAACCACTATATTTCGTGGAGTACATGTCCGATTGGGTTGAAACTTTGGTGTATGGCTGGAAAAGGAAGGGTTTTAGACCCAAATTGATCTGATGTGATTCTGACCTCATCTGGGGACAAGTCACATGACATTTAAGGGGTACTCTTTAAAGTGCTGTAATATCTCGTAAAGTTCATGTCCAATTGGGTTGAAAATTAGCACAGAGCTAAAAAGGGAAGGGTTCCAGATAGAAATTGATTTTGTCTGTCGGTGGTATCATTGTAAGACAAGTCACGTGACATACATCAATATGATATGGATTTTAAATATTCCCCTAAGCAATGTGCTTTCTGTATCATCCATGTGCACTTGTCATTAAATCTTGTGAGTAGTTTGTCAAGCATTTCCTCACTGTTTTAGATAAACGAAACCAAGGCTGAAGCAGCTGTGTTTGTCAACAAACACCCTCATTTAAAATACAATTATTGCAACTGGTATCACATCCACTTATGGTGACGTCATCAGTCTAAGAAGTCGAATATGTCATCTTCAAGTAAATATTATATTTTTAAGCAATTCTGGGAATCTCCACAAAGTACAAGGCAAACTCTCTTCCGAGAGAATGACATCATGCGACAAGCCATGTTAGATTATCTTCTGAAGTGGACATCCAACTGCATTGGTTGAAATTGATGGTAAATTACCAAGTAACTCTTTTAGGGTATATGCGACATCCGTAATAGTATTTGCCAAAATGCTGTCATTGCCAGAATGCTGACATGTACAATGTACACGTACATTGCTAATGTTTCGGTCAGATGAAAGTGTTCAGGGGTCAGAGGCTGATAATCAGTCGCCAGACTTCTTTGCAATGGAGTCAGGGAGAAAAGTCAAGGAAAAGGTCTTATTTGAATTTAGAAGTTATTATGGTTCTCTTTTCTATCAGGGGCACAAATTCCTTTTCAAATAAACTCTGCCATGTAAAGTCAGGAGGGACTGAAGTGGTTGCGCAAGGTGTGGTATTGGGGAGGGTTGGTGAATTCCAACCAGTAGCTCAACAAGAAAAACTGTTTGGAGATCCCAAATGTCTGCCGTAATAGGAGTTCATCCATAAGCAAATTCCAAGAGTCAACCCCCTATCAGTACCAAGGCTTGTGAAATGCGTGTAAAGCTTTGTCTGCAGTCAGCTTTATCTGTAGCCTTGGTCAAGGCCTTTGTCATTTGTCGCAGCACAGCACACCGCTGCTGCTCGAAATCAAGGCAAAGAGCGACCTCACATGGTTTTAGAAATATGCAAATCAGCTGAACCAGGACAAACGCCTTGGTGCAACCATCCACGGAGGCTGTATTGGATGGTGCTCAATTATGCTATGGACAAGAGCCAATGTTTTAAATACGTTTTTGGACTGGTTCATTGCTACACAGTAACTGCTTAATTTAAGTTGGTCGTAAGGTGACAGGTTAACTCAACACACATGTGGCTATACAATGTACAGTGTACATGACAAGTCAATAATATTTATTTTGCCAGCTGATCAGAGTAATGGGATATCGAGTTTGTCTTCGCTTCGCTTTACTAATTGTGATTGATTTTTTACAAATGAATAGCGCTATGGACTTTGTATCTGGTCTGAGGAGCTCTGAGCAGAAATGTGCACCCTGAAAAATAATTGATTTCTCATAGCACGTAGGCAATTTCACGAAAACGTTGAGATCCCGCAGAAAGTATTCTAAAGTTTGTTGCTGCTCAGCATGAAAATAACCCAACATTATCTGCAGCGGAATTCAAGCATCAAGACAACTCGTCATGTTGCAGTCGTCTCGGAAGGTCCACCATTTTCATGGTTATCAAACACACCAGTTCATGTTGATACATTATTAGGCATGTTTGGCTGTGATTGGTCACTGTGTACTTATCGCACGCCTACATCTATTCATATTCGCATATAAAGTCGTGTCCTAGAAATCTAGCACAGAAGTAAAGAAAAACATAAGCTTCGGCGGACAGTTGCACCAAGGCATTCATCCTGGTTCACCTGATTTGCATATTTCTTAAACTGCATGAGGTCGCTCTTCACCTTGATTTTGAGCGCCAGGTGCGTGGGGATGTGCACTGCGACGAATGCGTTGACCAAGCTACATGTACTTCATCTGTAGTCTGCTTCACCCTAAAGACAAATTGCATACTCGACAATCACACATATCAGAATTTCATGGATTAACAGTTCCATGGATTACCCGGTACATACCAGAATCCAAAGACATTTCCAATGCAGAAGGAAACACCCTTGTAGGTACTGGAGGTGATTTTTGTTCAGTAGTAGAATAAGACTTTACCTATCAAAAATGCCCTTTTAGTGCCAACCAATCTTGTTTCCAACTTGGTTCACCTTTATAAATCCTAGGCAAAGCAAAAAATGGCATCATAATATGCAAGGGGGAATACAGGGTTTTGTTCAAGTTACTGATTTCATTTTAATTTGTAAACTAGGAAATCAGTTTCAACTTAAATCTTCTTGAATATTGTTTATAGTTTAATCTCTTGTAATTATTGCTTTTAATGAGTGAATCGCTGGATGAAAATGGTTACCATAATGTGTAATGTATAATCAGATAGGATATTAAGCTGGCACATGGAAGAACCCAACACTTGCCACAAAAGGAAGGAGTTTGCCCTGACTGCATGAATACAGCAAATTCTTCATGATAAGAAACAGTATTTTTTGCACAGAGATTTCTAAAGCAAATTTTGATTCTGATGACAAGTGAAAAGGATCTTGTCTACATCAGAGGAGAGGAATGCAGCTAGGGGGCCAAAAGGTGAACCGAGAGGTTCACAAAATGGACACACAAGTCTTTTCAAGACCTAAATTATCTCATTTAATCATCTCACTAGTTTCAGTGGTTACAACAATGAAATCAGAAACATACATGAAACTTTGTGGGCTGTGGAATTATGGGATTCTTCAGTTTACACTATACCTGATTTTTAAATATTTCCAGGTTTCGTAGGGCACAGGCATCCAGCTTCAAACACTTACGTCTAGCAGAGAAGGAAACAATGTTGCTAGAAAAGAATTTTTTTAAAAGGCAGGTTACAAAGTTATCTGAATATTTTCTCATTTTGATCTGGGACCATATGGTTTTGATTCCGGAACACAAGGCTTTATTCTTTCCTCATATCAGTGGTCATGACACAACTGGCAAAGGGTGCTTTTGATTCTTCATTTTGATTCTTGGCTGTAAACCCGAAATAAGATTAAATCTCAAAGAAAGTTTTTTCACACATTCTCAACTAGATGTCCGAAGACAGATTCAAATGTTTCGTTACAAGCACTTGTTCTACATTGTTGAATCTGGTACCAAAGCATGTACAAATCAGCAGCCAAAAACTCTCTCAGTGTAACAAAAAGCATCTATTGCAATGAATTTGAAGAAAAAAAACAAGACTGGTGTATCAACAAATACAAATGCCTATATCCACGACTTGAATTTGTGATAAGAAAAACCTCTTTCCAAAAGGGAAAACCATTTCTATTGTTTTGACAATGGTAACCTTGACCTTTAATCTGGTATCAACGGGCTTCCACAGGACAGCAAGACCAACCCAAATACCAAGTTGGAAGTTCATATGCCCAGTCATTCCCCAGTTAGTGTGTGAAAACTGTTTCCATTGTTTCAAGCATAGCGACCTTGACTTTGGACTTAGGTATGGGGGTCCAAAATCAATCGGCTTCAGCAGGAAACCAAAACTAGCTTATAAACCAAAATTTAAGTTGACCTTCTCAGGGAACACAGGGAAAACAGACGAATGGACAGATACACATCCACACACACACATGTATCTGTCACCAGGTTGTGGGGACCACACATGTACTGAAATATAGATGTCATGGGGTCCAAACACATTACTTGGACAAATTTTTGTCCCCACAGCTTGGTCCAGACTTCTTTAAAAAAACAAATTGTCCCCTTAATGTGGGGGAAGGGTTTCACATGCACACACACATAGCGGGCATAAATTAGGGTACAACCACTGCTGAACAGAATGCAAAGGTCACAAAACATTTCCCACCTGGTCATTTTTAAAATGTGGTGTAGCTGAAACTCCCTGAGATACCTCAGCACTGCAGCTAAGCAACAGATGACTGGCACAGGCAGGTTTATGACTTCTTGAAGCTTTCTGTCTAAAAACGTTATGACAAATGGATATATGTACACCTGTAAAGAGCGAAAGCCTTTTGAAATATTTCTAAGTTCAAGGAGGGTCAGAATGAATGTTTTCTGAAAACAAGGGAACTTTTCCCCTGAGCTTAGTTCTCTTCAGTATCAGATCACATTGGACTGCCTCCCCAAACAAACATGCTTTGCTATACCTGTTCAACTATTTGAGTGGCCTTTTTTGAGGGTGTGCATTCTTCTTTGGGGCTGCACATTTATGGGTATTAATTCTGTATGTGTTCTTTCATGGCTTAAGCTTGCTTACCATCAATACACAAATATCTCATGGATTTTGACATATTGCCAGTGGAAAAGAATTTGAAAGTAAAAAAGCTAACAAGCATAGAAAATCACTTCCACTGTTCAGTAATCTGATGTTAAACTGATTCAGTGAAGTTGTTAGTCTTGCTGCTGGATGCTAATTAATTCATTCAAATAATCACACAACAATTCATGTTTTCTGTCATTTGCAAACCAACATTTCTTTAAATTGACCTATTTTATAATCCATTGTTACAGGTTACCTCAACGCTTACAAATGGATTGAACTTCGAAGTTATAATTTACATGTCCACTCACTGTTATAATTCAATAACTGTACGACTATGCGAAACTCACAAAAGATTCAAATATTCAATGAAATTCAAGATGCATGAAGAAAACTCAGATACTAGGAAATACGCATCTTCTCAACAATCGCGACATATAAAAGCCAATCCTAGCAATCAAACCAACACTTCATGATAATGGAGTTTCAAGTTCAGCTTTGAATTAACAAGAGTTTGTTTTATGTGTGAAAGTAAAAATGTCAGAAAGATTTTTTTGAACATATGTGACTGACAGTGGGCACTTGGCACAGTGTAAGGCTGGACACTACATGGGGCTCTGTGCATAAGTAACAAGGTTTTTATGGATATGGCACTTAGGCTCCACCTTGCACGCATGGTATTATGGCCTTTATCTGGACCAATCAACGATGCTATTTTCTTTGCAACGGAGGCTCCTTTGGTTGGAAATTAACCTCGCTGGTTCACGAACAACTACGAAATGTAAGCGTCATGGTGGCATTGCTACCAACAAATTGAATAATCCCGGTCAACGGGGCTCTTTTTAACTGATGAGGAGGTGCTTCTTCTCAAGGAGGATTGGTAGCACAGGTCAATAATGAGTCACTTGCTATGTGCACACAGGTATAATTGCAGCAGCAGCCAGCTCAAAAGGATATAAAAAATATACATTGTACTTCAGCTATTTGTGTGGCAACTTGTATGATTTACACTAGGGTTTCAATCTTTACTCCACACACTGTTCATTATTAGGTGCTGTCTGGAAGGCCTAGTCTACAGTCGCACACCGGCCTGGAATTCGGGGAATTTGAGGAAATTGGGAAATTGAGAATTTGAGTAATTGGAATTCGAGGAATCCGTGGAAATATGGAATTTTCACGTAAAGAAAATAAAGAATAAAAGATTTAAATTGTAATTAACTGTGATCAAACCTAGATATTTGAACCACAAAAGGTGACGTGTAAATAAAACTCTTTATAACTGAGACAGTTACATTTGGACTCTATCTGCCTGTCTTCCTTTGCCTTGGTGTCCTTAAAATAATAATTTAAGCGGACCTCCTTAATAGGTAGCTTGTCATTACATGTAAGTGCCATCGGGCACCAGGCCCTGAGGAGGAGGGAGCTCTTGTCCAGACCTCCAAAACCTGAGGAGCTTGACGTCATACATGTACGACGCCAAGTTTTTCTCAATTACAGTCAAACATCAGACAATGAAGTTCACTTCAGGAGAAGAGGGGAGATAAAATGATAACCTACTTGCAAAATCTCTGTGTTGCTCAGACCTCTCATTGCCTTCTGTTTCTTTACTCAGTGGACCCATGTCCTTATGGCTGTAGAATGATGAGACAACCTCTAAGGCCAGACAGTACTCAAAATGTTTATTGTCCATCCTCTCTATGCGAATGCGGTCATCATCACTTGTGCTGAAAAAAAAAAAGATGCACGATTGATTTTGACCAATACGTGTGTGAATATTTGAATATTTCTAAAAAAAACAAATTGATTTTGTACACAGTTTTTAGGGGCAACTTTTCTGATTTTCCAATCTTTCATCTTCATCAAAGTTACACCATAGTTATTTTTATTACCTTTATGCATCTACATATCTTTCTAGAAAAGTAAAGTTGTGACATCATCGGAGATCACGTGACATTTCCAAATAGTTGAATTCCATGCGGACCACTATCTCTAGAACTGTACGTTTAACTCGGATAAAACGTTCGTATGTACTCAAAGAGGGATACAAGTGTTTAATAGAAAATTTACAGTATCGTAGTAACATGACAATCTTAGAGGTATTTTCAAGATGTATTTTTGCACTGAGATGTTAATTTATATAACGGGTTTTGCCCGTACCCAACATATATATTGGTAAACACTGTATGCTTAGTGCTTGTCTGAGATCTTGTGAAAAAATTCACAAGCTTACTCGGGTGAGACTCAAACCCACCACCTCCTGCTTACTAGTCCAGACGTCTTAACCACTCGACCACCGAGCTTGCCGGGGTCAGCTGGCTGGTCTGAGTCAGGTGAAGCAGCGGGTACTGCGAACTATTTGCATAAACTGTACATACATGTACATTACAGGAGTGCCCAGTACATATGTATTATATGTACTACAGGGCAACTACACAATACAACCCCAAACATTAACATTCAACTTTTATATTTTTTTCATTGAATTCATAGGTTTCTAAGCATTAATGCCATGTGAGAGTATTTAAATACTGATAGAATTCCAAGAGGAATCAAATATGCATTCAATGGCACATTTTAACACCTACGGACCTGCAAGAAATAACTTTAACATTTCAGGACGGCTAGAAAGTTATAACCGAATTGCAAACATGAAGGTATGAGGGGTCTTAACTCGAGGTAAGAGTTGTCCATGATACAAGTTGTCCAAGGTATGAGTTGTCCAAGGTACGAGTTGCCCATGGTATGAGTCATCAAAGGTATGAGCCACCCAAGGTACAAGTTGACTCAAAAGCGCAAGCTGTACATAGTAGCAAAAGAAGCAACAAGTGCCATTCTCGTGTTGTTCAACCTCTTCGAGACTCAGACAAACAAGCTTTTGGACAGTGGATCACTCAATATGACTGGGCAAACTCTGTGAGAAAACTGCAACATTTTATAGAATCTTGCATGAGGCCATCGATAAGTTCTTTCCAACTAGGTTTATTCTATTCTACAGGTTATTCTACACACCCTGATGATATGCTGTGGTTTACCCCAACTCAAAGCATTGATCTTGAAGAGACAAAAACCATTCAGTGACGGAAAAATGCATCTTTTTCGAGAATTCGGTGGAACAAAATTGTTCAAGCCAAATTTAACTTCTACATTTCAGGTGTAGGTATGTTAAGGTGCTTAGATCCACGTCAGTGGTATTTTTAAATATAAAAGCTAATTGGTCATTAGAGCACAAAAGGTCGTTTTCGAAGCAATGTTTCACCAATCCAGTCTGCAAACCAGATAAATCAATTTATTGCTGTGACTGATGATACCATCATGCCAATACTGAAGAACTTACCTGCTTACCTTTTGTCTCCAGGCCCTCCACCTACAATTACACCACAGGATATTTTCAAGAAACTCAAGAGATGGAATATTTATGAAAGCGGTGGGCCAGAGTGTATTCCTTCATGCCTGATTTGAGAATTTGCTAATAATTTATGTTTTCTGTCAGCCGATATATATACCTGCTCACTGCTTGAGGGTGTTATACCTGGCAAATGGAAATATGCCTATGTAGTGCCAGTTCCAAAGTCTCAGCGTCCGAGAATTGATAAGTTACGTCCAATTTCTCATAATACTTGCGTATTTGCCAAAGTATTTGAAGATTTTGTTGTGAATTGGATTATGGGTGATTATTAGACATGCTACTGATCCTAACCTGTTGGGGTTCTCTTAAAGGTGTTTCAACTATATAATCACTGCTTAGTAAAAATCCTTGATGATATTCTTAAGGGCACTGATAAAGCTAAATGTTCTTCAGTTGTGTTTCACCAAGGCCTTCGACAGAGTCAATCATGCTATCGTTGTGGAAAAGTTCATTAATCTTGGTGTTAGGTCAAGTATTATTGCCTGGATCTGTGATTTCTTCTCAAATAGGCTACAAGCTGTTTGTTTGAATGGCAAATTATCGGAACGGGAAATCACCATTGCAGGGGTCCCTGAAGGAACAAAAATTGGCCCCGTTGCATTCTTGGCAATGATAAATGTTTTTGTGTCTTCACATCCTGAAGTGTCTTATTACAAGTTGTCAATGATCTCATCTTGTGTCAAACATTTTTGGACAATGATCAAACCAGTGAAATGCAACAGCAACTTCATCAACTCGGCACTTGGTCCATCTTAAATAACATGACCTTTTATCCCAACAAATGCCACCCCATGGTTTCTTGCTTTCAAAGAGTATCTATTACTGTACCTTCTTTCCATATCGGTGAATCTGTTATAAACCAGACAGACAATGTAAGTTGTTACGCATGTATCTACAAAAAGATATGGAATGAGATCTGTAGGTCAAGAACTTGTGCAATACATTTAACATGAAACTTTTTATTTAAAGACAGTTGAGACAATGTCATGTTCCCCCATCTGACCTCTTAACAATCTATTTGCAATACTTTCACCTGGAATTAGAGTATGCTGCACCTGCCTGGTTTTGTGGCCTTATGAAGTCCAAGAGAGAATGTTTAGGAATATTACTAAGGAAAGCCCTCCATGTAATTGTATGTGATGCTCATTGTAAAACTAAATCTTACAGTGAGATTTGTGCTCCATTTAACATTCCTACTGTAGCTGAAAGGTTAGAACAATTAACACTCAACTTTGGTAAGAAAATACTACAGTCCAGGATCATTAAGAATTGGCTTCCTCCTTGCCATGACAGCAACTTGAGAAATACGAACATGCTCTCTGTTGATAA